CCCTTTGCTTTTAATTGCCTTAAAGAAAGGTAGGCAACGGTCTGCCGACTTGGACATGAAGCGGCTCAGGGCGGCTATTCGGCCATTCAGCCTTTGAACCTCCTTCATTTTTCGGGGTGGTCTCATGTCTAGGATGACCTTTATTTTGTCCGGGTTGGCTTCAATGATGCGCCGGTTAACAATGTATCCCAGGAATTTACCCGAGGTGACACCGAAGACACACTTATTCGGGTTCAACTTCATATTAAATCTACGTAGAATTTCAAAAACTAAATTCAAGTCTTGTATTAAGTTGCATGAAAACTGGGTTTTGACGACCATGTCGTCTACATAACACTCTATTTTTTGGCCAATCAATGGCTCAAACAACTTATTTACAAGTCTTTGAAAGGTTGCCCCGACATTTTTTAGCCCAAAGGGCATGACCTTGTAGCAGTACAGGCCAAGCTCGGTTATGAAGGCAATCTTTTCTTCATCTGTCGGGTCCATCCTGATCTAGTTTTAGCCCGAGTAGGCGTCTAAAAAGCTCAGCAACTCATGCCCTGAGGTCGCGTTCACCAAACGGTCGATCTTGGGAAGTGGGAAGCAGTCCTTCGGGCAAGCTCGGTTCAGGTCGGTGTAGTCGACGCACATGCGCCATTTACCGTTAGCCTTTTTCACCAGAACGGGATTGGCCATCCAGCTCGGGTAATGGACTTCCCTAATAAAATCAGCTGCAAGGAGCTTCCCGACCTCCTCGTCGACTGCCCTCCATCGCTCTGGGGCTAGGTTGCATTTCTTCTGTCTAACGGGCCTAACTACAAGATCAGTATTAAGCTTATGAGTTATAATGCTAGGGTCTATGCCGGGCATTTCTGCCGCGGACCATGCAAAAACATCTAAATTTTTGAGTAAAAGGCGTACCAATTTAGATCGCAGAGGCTCCTCAATGGAAGCACCGATCTGGAGTGTTCGGGCTGGGTCCTCCGTCGAGGCTGTGAGGGAGACGGTCTCTTCTATGGGTGCAGCTCGCTCCTCGCTCCAGCTCGAGGTCATCGGCCACCTTGGCTTTCCCTTTAAGGGCAGCGATGTAGCATTTGCGAGACTCAAGCTGGTCACCTCGCGCTATCCCGATTCCAAAGTTCGTGGGGAACTTCATGGCCAAGTAGAAAGTGGACACCACAGCCCGTAAGGCATGGGTAATCGGCTGACCTACTATGGCGTTATACGGGGAGGGGGTTGCGACCACTAAGAAATCGTGGTTGAGCCTCACTATGCTAGGCCAAGTGCCGACTTCCACAGGTACTGTGATCCTTCCCAGGGGCCTAACTTCCTCTCCACTAAAGCCTACCAAGGGAGTGTTCGCGGGCTTCAGGTCGCTCTCATGGAGCTGAAGTTGGTCGAAGGCTACTTTGAAGAGGATGTCTGTTGAGCTGCCTGAGTCGACGAGGACGCGCCTGACTTCAAAGTCATTGATCTTCATCTTTATGACGAGCGCATCATCATGGGGGTAGTGGACCCCGCGCGCATCATCTTTTGTGAAGAAGATTGGGTCTTCCATCCTTGGCCGCTTCGGGGGGTTCTGTTCCTCCCTGGCAGCCTCGCGAGCTGATGTCCGAGCTGCGGCTGAGGTGCAGCCCGCTACAATCGATCCTCCGACTATCACATGGATGGTCCCCGAACTGGTCTCTCTTCGGGGGGCTGCTTCTGCGGCTGACTCATCGCGGAGATTTTTACAGCTCTCGGTGCTATGACCGTGGTCTTTATGAAAACTACAATACAAATTTTTATTTCTAACATTAGGGTCCGCCTTCAGCCGAGGTGGCCACTTCACATACGGGGCGTCCTTGATCGCCATGAGGATCTCGGCCCGCTTCGCGTTGAGGGGCGTGTAGTCCCTTACTACTGCTGGAGCTCAGAAAGGCTAATTTGGCTTTGCCCCCCGAGCTTGGTCCTTCTTCTTCTTGCTGTCACCCTGAGTTGAGGGCTCTGGTTCCCTTTTTCTTTTCTCGAGGGTCTACTCGCCCTTCTGGTTGATCTCTTCCTCCATCCCGATAAACCAATCTGCGAGCTTGAGGAACTCGATTACGGTCTTGGGCTTATTGACGACCATGTTTCACTTGAACTCTTTGTGGATAATACCTCGCTTGGCTGCGGTGAGGTGAACTGTGGGGTCCAGATCGGGTATCTATAGACAAGCGTCATTAAACCGTTTGATGTAACTCCGAATGGACTCCCCTTCCTTTTGAACTATGCCGAGGAGGCTTTCTTGAGTTCTTGGGCACCTCTTGCTGGTGACAAAGTGGGAGGTGAAAACTTGCACGAACTGTGCCCAACTTCTGATCGAACCAGGTGCGAGGTTTCGGTACCATGTGCGGGCTACCCCTTTGAAGGTGGTGGAGAAGGCCACGCACATGCAAGATTCACTGGCCCTTACCAGGTGCATCTAGGACTGGAAGGCATCCACATGATCATTCGGATCGAAGGATCCATCATACTTGTCCAGTGGAGGGAGCTTCAAGTCACTTGGCATGAGGACAACAAGAAGTTCTGTAGACAGTGGGGAAGGAACTGAGAGGAGAGGAGTAGCTTTTACTTCACCTGAGCTCACCTCCTCTTTAACTTTGAGCTCGGGCAAGACACGGGTAGCAGTTCGGCGAGCTCGTCGGCGTCTTCGTTGCTGCTTTGTCGGCTCAGTGTTGGTGTTGCTTGCTTCAGTGTTACCGAGCTCGATGGGCTTGGACTGCTGGTGGTAGCTCTGGACCGAAGGGCCCTGCCTGGTGTCTGCGGATAGAACCTCAAACGGATTTTCTGCGAGCGAGAGCTCGAACTGCGAGTGCTGGGGCGATACGGCCTTGACTGGCTGGGAGGCCCCCGACCTGCCCATAGGCTGCGAGGCGGGGGTGATTGACCTCTCCTTTCTGCCATGGGAAGAGGCTTGGCTCTTGGAGAGATCCTGGGCCTGAGAGGCTTCTCCCTGGCGAGGTCATTCGCTCCGGCAGGAGGGCTTGGTCTACTTCGAGGCCGGGTGCCAAGGAGGGAGTGGCTGCTGGGCCTGAGGCAAGGAAGGGAACTGCTGCTGATACTGGTACTGAGAGACCTGATGCAGCATTTGTTGCTGGTAGAGTTGGAACTGCTGGAACTGCTGCATTTGAGCTTGCATGGCTCGCATGCACTGCACTAAGTCTTCCAACTGATTCCGGTTGGTCACTGGGGGCACAACCGAAGGTTCAGCAAAGGTCACTCCAACCGTGGAAGGGAGTGGAGCGTTCATGGGTGCCACTGTGAGAGGCACATTTAGGCTGGGGATCCCATCCACAGAGAGGGGGACGGTGAACTGTCCGATACAGACAGTGGGAAGCTGGAGTTGCTCTCTAGAAGCATTCTGGTTGGCAACACACCTGGCGTTGCTGGAGGAGGCCATGAATGCTAAGTTCTCGAAAGGAAAATGTAGAAACTTAGAGGAAGGTTTTTTTTTAAGCGTTTTCCACAGACGACGCCAAATGATGCTACGCAATCCGGGCACTCCTAGCTGGCAGCTGACTAGCTCCTCGCTGGCGACGGACGGTACCTGAGAAGAGAGCGGTGAAGGATTCCCGGGGGAACTTGCCCGGTGGGAATACTTCGATGCTTAAGTTAGAACGCTGGAGAAAGTAGTAAAGAGTGTAGGTCGCGCTAGATCACTGAGTTAACTCAAGAGAAAGTTCAAGATATTCAAGATAAGATATCAGATATTCGAGAGAGCCCTTTCCTTCAACTAGGGGGCTCTTATATATGAGCGTTCTTGTCAAATCGGGCGTAACTGCCACTGGACCTTTGTCGCTGTCGTTATCTGCCAGGGCTGCGCAGGTAACCGTTGCAGTGTACTACCCAATCGGATGAGTGACACGTCCCGGAAGGACAGACACACCACCACTTGTCGAGAGACGTGGGCGCGGACTCGTCGGGCTGACAGGGACTGTGCCGTCGGTCAGGAGACGTGGCGCAGTCTGATGGGTACGGTCTTGTCAGATAGAAGCTTCCTGAAAACATCGCGTCGCTTAGTAGCGAGCTGCCCTGTAGCGAGCTATCCTGTTGCGAGCTACCCTGTAGCGAGCTCCTGAGGGTATTGCGAGGTGGTTCCTCTTGAAGTGGCCCTTGAGGCAGTTTTTCTATCTAAGTATTGGAGCGAGCTGGTTATCCTAGCTCACGAGTTGAGGTAGACTCGTCTTGGAGTATTCCCTTTTAGTACACCGGGGGTCCTCGAGCTCGCGTTGTAGCGAGCTCCCCCTATAGCGAGATCCCCCTGTAACGAGCCATGACGTAGCAAGCTGTCCTGCGGACTCGTTACTTAGTCGCGGTCAGGCTGTGATGCTGAGTTGTTACTTGTGTTGAGTCATGTCCACGTGTCACTGTCTCAAGGGGTCGGGTCAAATCACCCTCCATCAGATTTATCCAATATCTGGTCCACCGATATAAGATAAAAATATAGGTGTTAATGGACCGGGTTTGGATTGAAACCAATCTAAATCAAAATGAATTTATACAGATTGGACGATTCATACATTGAATTGGACCGATCCAAAATGGTCCAAAATATTCATTGGATTGAATTAGACCTGGTCCATTTATAATGGACTCACATTGGACTGGACCGAATTGGACCAAATCCAGTCCAATTGACACCCCTACTTGTATCCATATTCAATCCAGTAATAAACAAACTAATCAATTTGGATCACCTCTAACCAGATCAAATTCAAATTCAAACACAGATGCCATTTACAGCCCAATGAAGAAACCCTTTTTAGAGTTATACAATGTATGCCAAAAACCAACCAAAATGCACGACTGGAAGAATTCTTTATTGATGAAATGAAAACCATAAAATTGCTAAGGCTCAGTTTGGAAAGGGTACAAATACAAATATGTACATTGCAAATACATACAAAATACAAGGTTTTTGCACTTACATACTTGTATTGGTACTCTTTCTAAACTGAGCATAAGGGTAAATGAGGAATCAAAAGATTAGAACAAACCTGTCCATTCATTGCTTTTCGTGAAATCAATTCCAAGAATAAGATTTGACGACTCTAGACCAGAACCTCGCAAAGCAGAAGAAACCTGTGGAAGGAAAATGTTGATCAGGATGCTTAGAAGATGTAAATATGATGATGGATGCAATCTTACCAATTAGGAAAAAAACTGCATGTTAGTGGTACCTAGACCTGTTCACGGACCAGGTTTCGGGCTCGGCTTATCTAGAAGTGTCAATTGGACTGGATTTGGTCCAATCCGATCCAATCCAATATTAGTTTACTTATAAATGGATTAGACTCAATTCAATCTGATCCAATACATACTACAAGAAAAACAATATAGACCGACAGTAAAAATAAAACATAAAAAACATAATAAAGAGTAAAAATGAAAAATGAAAATCAGGTTTTTTAGTAAAACATTATCGTCATCCTCATTTTTATAAATGGTATAGAGATTAGATTGTTTATGCCTTTATAAAGTGATTTCTTTATATTTTCTTTGGTTAATAAGTTGTAGCATGCGATCATTTCTATCAATTGAAAGTTGAAACTATAGAGAGAGATTCGTTTATACTAAGGAAAAGTTTGAACCACACCCGAACCAATTATCAATCAGTTCTACAAGATAGGCCACAACCGAACTAATTATTATCCCGGGTAAATGAATGTGACCTATTATACATTTATACTTGAAATCTACAATTAGCAATGATAATTACAACTTAAAAAATATAACCTTAATAAAAATGACACTAATTAAATAATAAACTGTTTATACGTTGATAAAAGAAGTATTTTTAGCTAAAATCATGAAATATATCCACAAATGAAATTATCTAAAAGTAAGAAAGAAAGAGAAGAGAGAAAAAGATACAAAGCGACAGGCATAAACAAAAAACTAAGCTCATAACTCGCCAAAGTATTCACACAAAACAGAACATATCACCTGGCCCACTGCTTAGACTTTCACACAGACTCAAAGCTATAGTGATGGCAATTTTCCCCATAAAATTAGAAAGGGTTTTTCCTAAGCTTAAATGGGGATAGGGTGGGAATGGGAAAAATATTTTTGCCCTGAACCAGGGATGTGGGAGGACAGCATTTGTATATAATTCCTCAAATACGTCCCAAATCCAATGGTAAATTAATAAAATATCCCTAGATTTAATATCAATTTTTAAAACATTTTTATGTTTTCCCCAAATTCTTAAAATCTTAGATCTTATAATTTCATTTCTAGACTATCCCCAAATTGTCATAATTGAATTCTTAAAAGACGTAAAAATTCTCATAATGCTATTTATAAAATATCCACCAATTAAATTATTTTTAGGTGATTGGGGCGGGGAAAATGTGGGGATAAGGTACATGAACACCATCTTGATCTTGACTATGTTTCCGCAAGCAAAACCCAAGCCAATTTATTAACTATATAACTGGTTTGGGTCTTAATTGGTCCGGAACAGCAAAAACTGGTATCTGATCCAATTATTAAGTGGAAAACAAACTGCACAACCATAACCAATATGATCGGTTCGATCAATTTGGTTCTATCAGGTAAACCCGACCCATTGAGAGCTCTAGATTTAGCATTGTTTTGTAAAAAAAAAAAAAAAAGGAAAATGCATATAATAAAAATGTTTAAAATATCAAAAAATTGTTATTTTGTAGTGCATATTTTAGTTTATGTAATTCTATTTTCAAATGTGGCTCAAAATAAAAAGCTCCCATGTTGCCCTGCCATGAGCCGAGCCTGATGCTTGCTTCATTAATAGAAGAACTAGTAGGAAGATCAAATGTCTTGATCTCCACATATTGTGCACTGTGATCGCGTAATATATATGACAGACACAGAGTATCTAATCTGTTTATAACCATTTAAACAAAGAGAAGGAAAGAAAGAGGACCTGTTCGAGACTACTGAAATTATCTGGAATGTAGGAGTACTTTTTGCTGATCATAGCTCGTTTCCTCACTGAAACACCAGAAGTAAGGCCGCCGATTGAGATGTATTCGTTGGTTGTGAGCCTGAGATACCATGATCACCATTTCTGTAGTAGTTAATGGTGTTGCGCAGGCGTCTGAGAGCATTTCCCCTAGAAGTAATCAATTCCCAGTGATTTTATTGCCAAGTAAATAATCAAATCCTCCACCAACCAGAGCCAGAGATCTCAAACGCTAGCTCAAGCTTTCATTCATCGCTGTGGTTCTGGGTCTATTGACTACCACGATTAATTGCAGGAGAATTGATTCTCTCTTCATTTCTTTTTTATAAATTAAAGATTTTCGCTTTCTGGATTCCTTCCTTTCGCTTGTAAGTATGTTTCGGTGGTTTGGCCATGGCAAGTGGAGGATAGAGGAATCTCTTTGCTTCATCTTTACTCATTGGTTTGATACACGTACATTTCAATATAGTTGATGTGTTTAGACGTGTACACGCATTCGTGAACTAGACTTCTGATCTGTTGTATGACAATTGGAATAACGAGGGAGAATCAACCTATAAAGAGGTCGATTATATCCAAGTGCAAAATTGAATTCACGATTAAGGGTGTCAATGGACCGGTTTTGGATTGGTCCTCAGTCTAAAATTAATTTGGACGGATTGGATGCACTAACAAGACATTTTAGATTGGATTAATCCAATCCATAATATTTATTAGACTGGATTGGACCTGGTCTGTCAGTAATAAATTTATATTAGATTGAAATGGATTAATCCAATATATGGTTTATTGATATAAGATAAGAATATAGGTATTAATGGACTGGGTTTGGGTTGAAACCAATCTAAATCAAAACGAATTTAGAAAGATTGGACGATTCAGACATTGAATTGGACCAATCCAAAATGGTTGAAAATATTTATTAGATTAGATTGGAACTCATCCATTTATAATGGACTCACATTAGACTGAATCGGATTGGACCAAATCCAGTCCAATAGACACCCCTATTCACGATGAAGCCTTCATCCACGGACCAATGAATAATCTACTTTGGGTCCTTCTGGTTTAATGGAAAGAATACACATATAGCAGGCCTATATCACTATATTAATCTGATCATCAGATGAGAGACTCTAGATATTCCATATATATACCTCAATTGAATTATATGCTTTTAAGAAGTTTGATCGTCCCTAGCTAGAGATCAGCGGCTTCAGTGCTCACACCATTCACACAACTTTTTACAGCCGTGCATTGAGAATATCTCTGTGATTGTATGTTTTTTAAATGGGGAGATATTCCCAATGCCAGGTTACAAGGAACTGTGTGAATGATGTGAGCATGGTCTTATGAGCACTGAATCTGATTCCCCTAACTAGGCCTAATGAATGCAAGCCCCTCCTCGATGACTTAGGAGGGAAGCATGAAGGAAAAAGAACAGTCAAAGAAACAAAAACATAGAACTCAAAATATTTATGATATTTGTTGCGGGTCATAAAAGTTAAATTTTGATTTCATAGTGTCAATATTTATAATTTTACATTTATTTGCACACTAGTGTGGAAAAGACAAATATAAAACATATTATCTATAAAATAAAAGTTTTTATACAAAAACCCACTTTTGGAGAAAAAGAAATATTCTAGCTATAAAAGAAAAGGTTTGAGAATAAACCCCACTTTTGGAGACCAAAACAACAGATTCTGGGCCCAGAAACTGTAAATGATTGCCCGGACACATAGTGCTCATCAAGAATTCGCATTGACTCCCCAAAGAGAGATATATTCTCAATGCATGATTGAGATGTGTTGTGGGCACACTCAATGGGAAGTCAATACGAACCCACTTTTGGAGACCACCCCACAGCACATCTCAGCATGCATCAGGAACATCTCCCATACTTGTGGGGTGTGTGTTGGGAGATATTCTCAGTGCATGATTGAGATGTGTTGTGGGCACACTCTATGGGGAGTCGATACGAACCCACTTTTGGAGACCACCCCACAGCACATCTCAGCATGCATTGGGAACATCTCCCATACTTGTGGGGTGCATGTTGGGAGATGTTCCCAATGCATGATTGAGATGTGTTGTGGGCACACTCTATGAGGAGTCGATACGAACCCACTCATTGAAACAATCATTTTAACATATCATATGTCAAAAACAAGAGCCCACATCTCCTAAAAGCAAAAACTCTGAAAGCATGGCATCTTCTATAAATAGGGGTCTTGCCAAACCATGGATAAACAACAATTCTCTCTTCTTAAGGAGTCTTCAAGGTCATCCTCTATAAATAGGTTCAATCCAACGCCTCCTCCATATTGTGAAGAACTTCCCTCAAATTCTTCTTTGCATTTTAGGAGAGAAATCCTCCTCTCAATTTTAGAGTGTAGAGAATCCTCAATTTGGTTCATGTTTAGTTCACGGTTCAAGTCGAGGAGAGACCATGGCCTTAGAACCTCAGCTTACAATTCAATCTCTCGGAGAATTGGATTAAGTGTTTTAGGTAGGGGTGGGCATTTAGCTTATTTGGTTAAAAATCGAATTAAAAATAAAAATTGAACTAAAACCAAAATTTTCGATTCAGTTTTTGGTTATTTGAGTTAAAACTGATAAGTCCAATCTAAGAGTAGGGGAAGAGCACACGTCAAAGGCCCCGGATATTATCCCAGGGGCGGAGACTCATATGATCAAGTTAGTCAGGCACTTAAAGAGGGATCAGACGAGGGCTGAGATGTGGCCTCTCAAGAGTAAGAATGCAAGAGAGCAAGAGTGAGCAAAATGATTTTACCTTGACCTGGGCACCCCCTTTTATACTTGACCTTGCCATGGAGTGGTTGGAGGCAGTTAGAGATGAACGGCTAGGATCTCATCTGGATGATGCCACATGGCACAATCTAGGAACTCGTCATATGCACCTACATCACTTGCCCCCCACTCTCAAAGCCGTAGTGGTTGAGGTTGCGTGATGTGCTGAACGGAGACCTCAGCTTCAGCCGAAGAGAGTATTACAATGCTTCCTGGAGGTGTTGGATGGCGCGAAAGGTAGAGGCTTCAGTTTGGTCAAAAAGAGCATCATACAAAGGCGCAGAGGTGTCGGCCTTGGCTATTGAGAGCTCCACTTGGTCACCCTATGGAAACTACTTCCTTGCTGACTTCTCGCCTCTTCGGAGAACCACAGTGGGCCGAGAGCATGGGACCGTTCCCGACACAGTTGTGAGGCGTCTGCGTCCCTCGGCAATTCTCTGTATGAGTGTCATCATGGATCTGTGCGTGGGGTGGACGTCTGCGTTGATCAGTCGTGGACGTGCACGAGACGGGTGGTGGGTCGCTCTTAAGCCAGAGTCAACAGGCAGACTAACTAGTCTTTTCGGCATCGTTTTGCATTCGTGAGGTCGATGCCATGTGGCACACGCCAGTTCAGACTATCAGGTCGTCGGCTCTGCGGCCATTGGATTGAATCAATCTGAGCCGTACATTTTTCTTTAAATAGGGCCACTAGTTGAGGTAGCTCCCTACCATTTGCTCACTTCCACTTGTGTTTCCAAAGACCTCGGCCACCAACCAGCTAATCCTTTAGTCTTCTTCATCTTCGAACTCAGTCACTAGGTAAAGGACTCAAACCATGTCATACTCATACTCTGCGACCCAAACCGAGCAACCCACCACCCGTCTTGTGCATAGCCACAACTGATCAACACCGACACCTATCCCGCACACAGATCCATAATGACACCCGTACAGAGCATGACCGAGGGATGCGAACGCCTCACACTCATGTTGGGCACGGTCCTGTGCTCTTGACCCATTGTGGTTCTCCGAAGAGGCGAGAAGTCAACAAGGAAGCAGTTGCCATAGGGTGACCAAGCGGACCTCTTAGCAACCAAGGCCGATGCCTCTGCGCCTCTGTGTGATGCTCTTTTTGACCAAGCCATGGCCTATTACCAACATGCCATCCAACACCACCGGGAAGCATTGTAATACTCTCTTAAGCCGAAGATGAACTCTCCATTCAACACAGTGCTCGACCTCGACCACTTCGGCCTCAGGAGTGGGGGGCAAGTGATGTGCCATGTGGCATCAACCAAATGAGATCCTGGTCGTTCATCTCTAACTGCCTCCAACCACTCCATGACAAGGTCAAGTATAAAAGGGGGTGCCCAGCTCAAGGTAAAATCATCTTGCTCATTCTTGCTCTCGAGAGACCTCATTTGAACCCTCGTCTCAAGCCTGATCCATCCCCTCTTTAAGTGCTTGACTAACTTGATCGTCGGAGTCTCCGCCATAGGATAGTACCTGGAGCCTCTGACGTGTGCTCTTCCCCTACTCTCAAGTTGGACTCATCGGCCTCGAACAGAAGCAAAGTTACCTTATTGCCCTCGGCCCCATCCTTGGAGGCAACAGTTATATATTAGCATATAAAATATATTATGAAATCAAATTTCATTGCACTATATATTAAATATTATATATCATATATTATATATTACATGTTATGTAGCAAAGTTCGATTAATTTGATTTTTTCGATTAACTGAATTTCTAATTCTAAAAACTGAAATCAAAACCTAATTAATCAAAAAACGAAATAACTGAGTCAAAAAAACAAAACAAAACTATAATTTTCGATTTGATTTTTGGGTTTTAACTAAATAATGTTCACCCCTAGTTTCAGGTTAGTGGTTTATTTCTTTTACAATAGACAAGGATTTTCGTTTTACAATATTAGGGAGCCATATTCCTTTTTCTCGTTTTCATTCTCTTGCCGAAAGCATGGGAGAATGAACCTGGGAAAGGTTTGGCTCCATAGTTTAGTTTATTTGTTGGTTTGACTGTTGTTGCACTATAAATATGACTATCATATAGGGTACTCTAGCCATCTTGCGTCTTCTCTTATAACTATCATGCCCATGCATCATTTAGATATGGAAATGCTTAGGATGATATAAACAAGTCTTTATTAACTTGCTTACATTTTAATATGTCATGTAAGTTGCATCTAGGCATAAAGACTAGGGCCTTGATTTCTAGGGACTTATGAGGAAGATAGTGCTCTGCATAGAAATATTTAGTGGAATTGGAGCCTAAGGTACCCCCTTTTTTATCCTACAAACTTATAGTTCAAAAAGCATCCATATTATTTTATGATATGACAAAATGTAGAGGCAGATATTTTAATCCCAGACAAGTGCGGTGCCTAAGTTGGGGAACAATGTCTTAGGCCATATTTGGGTGTGCTTAAGTTAAAAACAAGTATTTATTGAATAAGTGCTTAAACACAAGTGCTTATTCAAATAAGCACTTATTTGTATTTGGCATCCAATTTTTTAAGTGTTTATTTTTTAAAATAAGCATTTATTTTATATTGAGCGTTTGGTAGTTTTTTTCTCTAATAATCACTTAAATACACATTTGTGACTATTTTGTCATTCATTTTCTTTCAAATTTTCAAAATATGCCCTATGAAAGCACTTTTAAGAAAGTACTTTTATGAAAGCATTTTTACAAGATCACTTTTATAAAAGTACTTTTACGAAAGAACTTTTGTGGAAGTGCTTTCATAAAAGTACTTTCTTAAGTGTTTTCATAAATGTACTTTTGTAAAAGTGCTTTCATAAAAGTGCTTTTATAAAAATACTTTCACGGAAGTGCTTTCGTAAAAGTATTTTTGTGTTTTTTTTTGTGTAAAAATGCTTTCATAAAAGTACTTTTATAGAAGTACTTCTATAAAATTCAACTAGGGATAATTTTATAAGTGGTATTTTAAAATTCAACTAGGGATAAGTTTGGAAGAAAAAAATAGAATAAATGCTTATTGTATAAGCACTTTTAAAAGAACTGGAAATTTAGGCTTAAAAAATAACCCCTTGTTTTTAAAATAATTAAGCACTTATTTTAGGCTTATTTCCCAAATACCAATAAATGCTTAATGGCACAAATAAATACCTATTTTAAATAAGCACTTATTTTTAAACACTCCCAAACATGGCCTTAGAAGCAAAAGTGACGATGGTAGGAGACGAATAGTATGTTTTCCTATTTCCCTATTTTTGCCCCAATTGGGAGGCCTTGAATAATCTTGTATTTGAAATCGTTATAACCTTTCTGCTTTTAATAACAATAAAGTGAGTATTGCTTTCTCTTATGATCATGTGTCTAATAATAAGGTTACCCAAACTCGAATGTAAACTCCAGTACTATTTCGAAGATGAGGAAGGACCGATTGAAGGACCTACCCCCAGTTTACTCAGAATCTTAAAACAAGATAAATACAAAGTGCATCCCGCATATTTAAATAAAAAATATGACTGACACCATCAACTTGGGAACCTCCAAGCCACCCACAAGTGAGAAGTATAAGGATGTTTTTGCTTGGTCTTACGACAACAACATGTGTAGTATCAATTCTAAAATAGTCTACCATCACTTACCATTCTACCCAGTAGCAAAGCCAATGAAGTAGAAGTTGAGAAGGATGAAACCTAATATCACCCTAAAGATCAAAGAGAAGATTACCAAGCAGCTCAATAATGTGGGATTTTTGGCAAAAACCTAATACCAGGAATGGCCTTATAATATTGTGGTTTTCCCAAAGAACAATGAGAAGGTGCTTATGTGTGTGGATTTCAAACACCTAAATAAGACAGCTCAAAAGATGATTTTCCGCTAGCACATAAGGTTTAAAGTATCGTTACGCATCAGTCCATATTAGTCGATACATATCATTCCAGGACCCTTCGGATACGCCCCTACAGTGGGTGTATCGGGGGTCTGACCGGTTCAGGGGATGGAGGGGTCCTAAACCAGCTCCCTTGAACCAGTTTTGAAAAAAAAAATAAAAATAATAAAGTAAAAAAATGAGTATCGAAATGCCCAATACACCCCTACCGACGTATCGGGTGTATCGATATTTTGAACCTTTCTAGCACAAATAAATGTTCTAATTCACAATACAACCAACCATGCCTTACTTCCTTTATGGATGGGTTCTCCTGTTACAACCAAATCAAGATGGTGCCAAAAGATAAGGAGAAAAACTTCTTTCATCATTCCTTGATGAACTTAGCTACTATTATCTTACTATGCCCATCAGACTCAAGAATATAGGGGCAACTGCCTATATAGATGACAGACATTATAGTAAAATCCAAAGAAAGAAACAGGCACTACCAAGTGTTGAAAAGGTTCTTCGACTACATCCATGAGTTCAAGCTAAGGCTAATTTGAAAGAAGTGCACCTTTGGAATCATGTCCAAAACAAAACTAATAGGGTTTGTAGTGAGTCAAAGGGGGGGATAGCCGACCTGAGTAGAGTAAAGGCGAATCCACCTCAAAATGAGAAAGAAGTCAAAGGATTATTAGACATGGTGTACTACATCAGTCATTTCATACATCGATTCACTGGTACTTGCATTATCATTTGTCTTCTGCTCATTGAATTTAGAGTCGTATGAAATCTTCAGCTTAGGATGTGATAGATTTAGATGCCTTCTGATATATTTTAAATTGTAACAACTTCATTGAATTGGAAACGATGCAAATGTAGTGTAAATCCCAATTCAGGATAAATTTGCACTTTATTTCATTTTTGTCTATATTTGATAACATTGCATGTATGCATTGACAAATGATATAAAATACATTTTCCAATGCATATTTACATAGATAATGAGATGTAAAAGTACATCAATCAAAAGAAGTAAATTTGTATTCAAGTGGGCTTTTAATAAAAAAGAATTCGTGTTTGCATCCATTATAGCTAAAAATCTGTTTAGTAAGATGATAAATTTGTTGGTGCAAAACTAACCCAACTTTACAATTTATATGGACCTTTTTACACTCTGCATATTTGCATTCACACTTATTAATGTGTGTCGTTTCCAAATGCAGCCTTATAAACAAAATTCATTCTATTTCTTTCTAATGAGCCACGGATCATGCTGGGAACAAGGTTCATTGGATTGGTCGGAAAAAATTTGCTACCTCTCGAGGGAGGTCTTGGTATTAGATCTCTCTATGATATTAAATAAAAAAAAAAAAAAAACTTTGTGCTTAAAACCTAGTTTTGACTTATTCAAAAAAAAAAAAAAAAAAAGAGCATTTGGGCTGATTTCATGTATTTCATTGTGGCATGATAATTGGACAAGTCTTGGCTCTCTTATTTTTGAAATGGATAATGAATACGTTTAAGATTCAACGTCAACCAAGTCTTAAGTGTTAATGGTGACTGGTGCTTTGAGTTGGTTAACTCTATTAATCCCCAATTCATTTCGAATTTAGCTAGAGATTTGAAGGTCACTCTCAATGGTGGAGATGATAAACTCATTTGGAACACGAACCTGAATGGTGATTTTTTTTTTTTTTTTTTGTTTCTACAACTTAGAATTTCATTAGGGCTTATGATAATGTTGTTAATTGGTTTCAGTATGTTTAGAAAGCAGGCCCTCATATGTTAAAGCATCCAGTTTTATTTGGAAAATTCTTCGTGGTGCATTACCTCTTGATGATATGATTATGAAGAAGGGATTCAGTTGGCTTCTAAATGTTGTCGTTGCAAATTTGCAATGAACATTGTATTGAAAGCTTTAATTATTTATTTGTTAATGGAGCCTTGGATTCTCAATTATGGAAATATCATAGTGGCTTTTTCAACTCGGCATAGTGTTAATAGAATATATATGTGGTGGAGTCTTGCTAATAATGACTCTCAAGTTCATCATCTTTTTAAAATCCTCCCCTGGATCATAATATGGTTAATATAGAAAGAATGATGCAGTCGAAGATTTGAAGGAAAAGATGTCCCAACATCAACAACCATTAGAAGAAGCAACAAAGTGACTTATGGATTTAAACCTAATTCATGCAAACCCATCCTCTCAAAGCAACACATTTATCTTAAATGCTCCTCATATCCCTATCAAGCAAGTCAAGAGTACCATTATTCATTGAATTTATTAGCAATTCTGATCATATATCCATCCATTCAAACTAAATGATGATGGTGCTTGTTGTGGGAATCCAGGTGAAAGCAAGGGAGGTGGTAGTGTGAGAAATCGTGCTCTGGTGTATTTCTATTCTTGCTGAAGTTTTGGCTCTTTGTGATGGGCTAAATTATGTCTCTCCAGAGGAATAAGGAAGGTAGAAGTGGAGAGTCATAATATAAATTTTTAGTGGAAATCCTATACAATATCATTATCAATACAGATTATTTTCATTTTTTTTACTTCTTGAAATAAGAAAGAAAGAAAGAAAGAAAGAAAGCAGGTAAATGTACAGGATGTTTTGTATATGGTTATAATTAATTTGATGAGAGTGTAGTAGCTTCACGCCTTCACCCAGTATATAGTCGGATACGGGAAGTGATGCGTCCTCGGCATATGGGGCAGTTAGTCACTCTCGGCCCACACTCTCTACAGACCTGGTCGAATGCAATCAGATAATTAAGTTTTCAAGTTAGTGGAAGAAGAAACATTTAATTTGATAGTCATGATCAGCAACAGATGAGTGAAGCAAAGTTAATTAATTACCATATGCCCACACCCAAAAGCTAAATTCTTCTCATTAGTCAAGCAAACAGGGCATGTCTGCAGCAACACGTACATGAAAGACTTTAATAATAAGCATATATCCCAACACCCCAAATCCACAAATTTTCAAAGGAAAGAAAAAGTGTTGTTCAGAAATATTGCCAGAAAATAATTAAGCAGAAGCATATATATCCTTACTTGTGTCCTGTCATCTCCACCGGATGGAGCGGCGTTATTGCTTGGTCCACCAGAAAGTGGATGCAGCGGACGACCGCCGGTGGAAGAAACACGAGGAAGAGGAGGAGGCCGGGGAACAATCTTTGTTGGACCTCCTTTGGTTCTTCTGTCATACATAATATTTAACACATTCTCAGGTCATACAATAAATTAAAAAGGCTTATCATTTATATATATACGTAAGTGGAAGCTACTGCAGGTTCAAATTAAGTATCAGACTAGCTACGACTATAACAAGACTTAGCTTAATTAGGGACTATTAATTATTGTAGTTTGTGCTTCATATACAGCCCATACCCAAGGAGACCAAGTTCCATGGTTGCTTTGTACTGGATGGGGACCTCCATTAGTGCTGCAAGAGCAAATGCTGTTTCTTTCTCAGAGGGGCTAACATCTCTAGACATGATGTCTGTGAAGTTAACGAACTGCATCATCAGATAGCAGCTAGATAAGGCCAGAGAATTAGCTAATAAACATTATATATATAAGATATTTTAGTTTAGATTTCTATATATGAGCTACTTGTGTTTTTACTACGTGTACCTGAAAATTGTCGAACACACGTTCTCGGATCTTATCATCAAATTTCCTCATGTTGTCCCAGGGTCCATCACCAACGCCAACAAGCACAATTGAGAGTGGATACGAACTGGCGAATAATAAATTAATTAAAGTAGGTTTTTATTAATTAATTAGTTCTAGGTATGCTTAATTTCCAATTAATTAAAAGTTTGTGATAGATAGCTCAATTTTCGTTTTTTGAATGCTAGCTATACCTGTCACTTAAAAATGGGGTAAGAGAACCTAGACATGCAAATATATATGATTTAATAAATTAAAAGACTTTTAATTACCTTGCAGTTGCTATTGAGTTAATTGTTTTCAATTCCTGTGGGCTAAGAGCTCCCTCCATTCTATCAACACTTCTTGTAACCTTCATAAAATCCAAATGGTTACTTTTGGTAATTTGAAAAAAAATACAAGAAAATTTAGAAAGGGATTAAATAAGGAATAATAATTAATATATAAAAGCTTATGGATTAATTCCATGGATATATCTGAACCTGGCCATCTGCAATTATAACAAGAACATGGTATTGCCCTCCACTTTTCTCCACAATATCAATTGCAACCTCAATTACTGGTGCAAAAGAAGTTGGCCCTAAAAAAGAGATCGAGGCAAATGCACTTAATTAGATTAAAAATAAATTAAATATATATATCATAGGGTTAGGTGGAAACATGCAATTTATTAACACGATTCCCATATATAATATTAATATATACAGAACAAATCAATAGGTTTTACACTACACAGTTTGAGAGTTACCCATTAATACAGATGTGGCCGGTATCATGCAAGTTAATTACTTCAGCAAATTAACTAGTTGAATTAATAAAATAAGGCTGTGTTTGGAAACAATGCAAATGGAGTGTAAATTTTGGTTCAGGGTAAATTTACATTCTAGTTCACTTTTGTCTATATTTGGCAACATTACATTTTTGTATTGATAAATGACAGACCAATGCATATTTACATTGATAATAAGATGTAAATACATCAATAAAAAAATGTAAATTTGCATTCAAGTGGGCTTTTGATATATATATAAAAAATAAAAAAGCATATGCTTTATTGGAATTCGTGTTTGCATCCATTACAGCTAAAAGTCTGCTTGGTAAGAAGATAAATTTATCAATGCAAAACTAACCCAACTTTCCAATTTATATAAACCATTTTACACTCTACATATTTGCATCATTTCCAAACACAGCCTAAACAACATTAATGTGATCAGGGCAAAACGCTAAACAATTTTGCACATGAAGTAAAGTTGTTTTGTTCAAATAATAGCTTGTGCAGATGGTCTTATTCGTAGCAATCAAATCTATAGTATTGATGTTTAAATTAAAGTTCAGTAAAATGCATGTGGATACCATATATATCAACCTGATAATCTTAAATTTGGAACAATGTGTTTATAACAAGCCAACACTTCTTCAAATCCATGGCACGGTGTATGATCACTGTGAAAGCTAAATACCCCTTCATCGCGGGTTGTAGCTGTGAGAGGATCAAAATAAATAATGAAACTCATTAGCAGCAATCAACTGATGTTATATACATATGGATTATATAGGTGAAATGAGAGAAAAAAAAATAAGTTCAAAAATTCTAAATTAATCAAGGAACGAAAACCAACCATCACCAAATCCAAAACAAGGGATCAAATTGTCTTCATCAAAGGGAGCCAAAGTCTTTCCAACAATCATAATAACCTGCTCATATGGATTAGGTGTATCACCAATTGCATGCAGGCTCCGATTTTGAAATGTGTTTCTGCCTTCAATAGCAAAGTAAACATATATATATTAGCATCAGACACTTGAAAATTAAATTAAGAAAACATTTAAGGGGCGTTTTTTTTTCAGATTTTGAGAGGGAGAAAGTTGGCCAATGCAATTTTGGTTCCCATTGACCATGTGGGTAAAATAACTTTCCCACCTAGGGGGAAGTTGACAACACTTGAATGAGACAAAAATGTCCCTTTTAATAATAGACTTTTATGGGTAAAATGGTCATTGCCTTATTTACATGACAAATAATAAAAGAACATGGGTAAATACACTTACCCGGATAAGTGTTTTCTAGGAAAAACTTACTCAGGTAATTGCATTTACCTGGGTAAGTAATTTATCAAAAAGAAATGGGCCTTAAGGATAATATGGTTCAAAAATGGACTCCAAAAGTGAGATAATGACTACGACAAATAGCCAAAAGATGTAAACAGTGATCATTTTTTTTAAATAGACGTATAGTTCTTATTGTAAAGAGTGATATGATTTTGCTCTTAAAACCAGAATTCTTAAGATTAAAGAGTTGGGCAAAAAAAAATAACAGGAAAAGCTATTCATTCTTGGTTCTCTTATAGTTATATCCTCGATCGATCATGTGCTTCCATTATCAAGCAAAACATCGTTTAATCTTTTATTTAGCACAACTAATTGAGCAAAACATCGATGGTGAGGTTCTAATGCTCCCAAGCAATATGGCATACAATTAAGTACATATAATTAGAGGAAGATCACCATTAATTATTGAAGGATGTGTAAAAAGGCTGTAACTGTAATTACAACTTAAATACACGAATATATTTTAGGAAGTTTACCTAATGAAGTCAAACTCAACCAATCAATATCCCTATATGGCCCCGTTCACTTTTTGGTAAGTTACTTACCCAGGTAAATGCAATTACCTGGGTAAGTTTTTCTTGGGAAACACTTACCCAGGTAAGTGCATTTACCCATGTTCTTTTATTTCTTAGGTAAATAAGGCAATGACCTTTTTAGCCATAGAAATTCATTATTAAAAGGGGCATTTTTGTCACATTCAAGTGTTGGCAACTTTCCCCTATGTGGGAAAGTTATTTACCCACCTAAGAAATGGGTATCACTTTCCTGGGTAAGTGATACCCAAGAAAATAAACTTTCCCTGGTCCCCACATAAAGCAGAAAAAAGAACATGGGATTCTTGGTCAATAGGAACCAAAATCCCATTGACCAACTTTCCCCCCTCTCAAAATCCAAAAAGAGAACACCCCCTATATACTTTTCTTTAAATCCATTCAAGGCACATGAGACCAAGTATAAAGTGTGGCAAGAAGGCCTCGGCCGGCTACTTAAAATAAGAGTGCTAGTGTGGACAAAAGAACAATACTTATCATATGTATTACCAAAAACCAATCAAAATGCACAATCTTATACATCTATCATAAGCCCTAGCTCGACCCCACACAATGGTCATAGAAGGGGGATTTGCCACATCATCAACAATATAATGATTGATGGTATCATTATATTGTTATATAATAGATTTAGTCGTTTTCTTATATCTTTTTTTATTTTTTGTACAAGGGCTACACAATAGGGTAATGATCAATGGAATCACCAAATATTTATCCCAATTTGGTTCGTTTACTCCTCCCCTTTTGAGCAATGTTACCACTATAGCTCAAGGACAAACTAGCCTCTCAGCTTGGCAACGGGGTGAGGTTCATAACATTCTATTACATCAAAGCTTACAAGTTACTGGAAACATATCATGGCCTTAAGGAGGAGTGGCCCTTAACAGCAATGAAAAGAATTAAGAGAAGATGCACACAAGGGTCATTGTAATACTTGACTAGAGAAACCAAGGACCAATGTTTTTGACCCGTTGTTGACCTGGATGGTCAGATCATTCGGCCCATGAACCATCCAAGCAACCAGTTCTATTTTACCCTAAACCTAGTCTCTGGCCAAAAACCATTGAATTACTTAACGACCCGCTAACCCAGGTAGTCAAACCATCGACCCGTTCAACTGTTGTTGGCCATTTTTTATTTTAATTGTTTTTAAATTTTTTTCATTGGAATGGACTATCCATTCAGACCGGACGATCGAACTGTTGACCTATGTCAACCTAGTTCTGAAACTTGCCAAGGACAAGCAAGAGGAGATCCACTGAATCATGGAACCAGGTGGAACTCGCAACAAAGAGGCGGATCAAGAGGCGGCAAAGGTTGGGTCCAGGGAGGCATTGCCACTATGTGATAGTACAATGTGTGGCTCCTTCTAATGTGCTAGTACTTTTAGTTGTATGATGTCTCAAGGAACCAATGAGTTGCCATTGCCACTATAGACTTTGAAAATTGAATAGTCGAGTGGTATCAATGGATAAAGAGGACACTGGAGCTTCACCAACTGAAGACCCCCAAACAACAATTACGGTTGTTGATGATGGCTCTCCTAAGATTTCAATACATGCAATGGTCAGGGTTATCTCTCCTCAGACCATGCACATTCGAGGGACCATGGTAGGGTACCCACTAAAAGTGATTGATTTGGGGTCCATTCATAACCTTATGGTATCACCACCACCTAGGATGCTCACTTTAAAGTCATGGTGGCAAATAGAGAATGACTAACTGATTCAAAAAATCATCCAAGGGTCCAAATCAAGGCCCAAGGAAGCATCATTATCGCTAATTTCTACTGGTTAGTCACAAGGGTTGGACACCGTCCTCAAGGCCCAATGGCTTTGTAACTGGGGCATGTCACAAGAACAGCTAAGTACCCCTTCTAAAAAACTAGTATAATTCTCAAATGTATTTGGAGAACCTAAGGGCCTCTTCCCTCTGTGGTAATTGAACAACACCACTCCCTTACAAGAAGGATCTAAACCAGCCTGCCTTCAACCTCTTATAGGTACCCTTTCTACCATAAGAATGAGATCAAAAGGATTATTAAGGATTTATTGAAGAAAGAAACCATTCAACTTAATTCAAGTCCTTACTCTTCATCAATCCTACTAGTGAAGAAAAAGAACAACAATTGGCACCTCCACATTGATTATAGGGCTTTAAAATTTTGAAAAATGCACTTAGAATGCATGAAAGGGGAATCAGAGTACTTTTTATTATATACTAATCTATAACAAAATCTTGGAGGACCATACAACTCATCTCAAACTTACATTGGAAACCCTTAAAGAGTAATTGCCTATTCACTAAACTATCCAGGTATAAGTTTAGAGTGTACACTGAATATCAATGACACACCATCTTTGAAGCTAAGGTATAGGTGGATCCTTCTAAAGTAGAAAACATGCAAAAATGGACAAGCCCTACTACAATAAGAGAATTAAGGGGATTCCTTGAACTAATTGAATAATATAAAAAGCTTATTAAGGATTATAATGCCATAGCCAAACCTTTAACTAACCTTCTTGAAAAGGGGAATCAGAGTAAGGGGCTTCAATCAAAATAGACATTCCAATAGTTACAATAGGACCAGGGCACCTTGCTAGCCGCCAAACTTCAACCAAGATTTTATAGTAGAGGCTGATGTGTCTGATTCTAGAGCTAGTGCAATTTTATTACAATGAGTCAAACCTATAGCATATATGAGCAAGGCTCTGCATGGAAAAATATCCCCCTCTCCACGTATGAGAAAGAGACAATAGTAGTGGTGATACTAGTTCAAAGTTAGCAGTCATATCTATGGGATACCAACTTACAACTCATACCCAGTTAGCAGTCATATCATCAGAACAAGTCACCAAAGCCTAGGCCATCTTCTACATCAACTTACAACTCATACCCAGTAATGACTACTTACCAAGTTTATGGGATACCAATATGAGATAAAATATAGTTGTGGCAAGGAAAATTTCATCATAGATGCCTTATTAAGGAGAAATGAATCTGAATGCTATGCCTTATCCATAGCAGTCCCTCTTTGTAATGAAAAGGCTTAAGAGGAAATAATAACAAACCAATAATTTCTAGAAATTATCAAAAATGTAGCAACAAGTTCACATAAAGGTTCCAAGCGTGAATATCATGGGCGAATACTTTGGCACAAGGGGTGCATTGCATTAAGTTCCCAACCCCCATTTTGGCAATTGATGTTTGATGTGTTTCATGCTTCTCCCTCTAGGGGTGGACTAGTTACTACAAGAGAGAAAATCAAATCCACTTGTTATTAGGAGGGGATGCGAAAGGAGATCTGGCACTAGGTCAAAGAATGTGATGTTTGTTAAAGGAATAAAAATGAAAACATCCCACTACCAATGCTATTATAGCCTTTGTTCGTCTTGGTAGATGTGCTGACATGTGACGTGTTTATGGATTTTAATAAAGACTTACCCCCTTCAGAGCGTAAGACTATCATTATAGTGGTCATCAATAGACTTACAAAATATGGCCACATCATGCCTTTAACTTACCCCTACACAGCAAAGGATGTCTCCAAGGCTTACCTAAATGGTTTTTTTCAAATTTTATGGCATGCTTTTCCCAATCGTAAGCGACAAGGATATGGTCTTCACAAGTATATCTTGGCAAGAATTCTTCAAGTTGTAAGGATACATCTCTTAAAATGAGCTCGGCCTATTAAGATATCACCTATAGGTTGATAAGAAAACCGAAGTTCTAAACAACACCTTAGAGACTTACCTACGATGCTTTGCTAGCACCCAACCACACAATTAAGCCAAGTGGTTGGCCCTAGCCAAATGGTGGTATAACACCATCCACCATACTTCTACAGGCACCACTTCATATGAGGTAGCCTATGGAACCCATCCCCCAACCTTAAACACATACCTAGCACCACCAAGGCTCAAGCAATGGAATATGAGCTATGTGCCTATGACCAAATAATCAACAACTTCAAATAGCACCTAGCAGTGGTACAACACCACATGTAAAAATATGCCAACAAAGGAAGGACCAAGTGTAACTTCTTGGTGTGAAGACAAAATGTATCTCTAACTACAACTATATAAGCAAAGCACAATTGTAATAATTAAGAAAATCATAGAAATTAAATGCCAACTTCTATGACCCTTTAAGATTAAGGAGAAGATTGGCAAGGTCACCTACAACTTAAAGCTTCCCGAAGGGTGTCAAGTCCACCCAATGTTTCACGTATCATGGTTAAAGACACATGTTCGGATCTCCTACCCAAAAGAACCTTATCCATACATCACCACAACCTTACATTGAGAACATCTCATGTATTTGCATGTTACCATTCATGGGGAGATGTTCCCAATATTATATACTTGTAGTGTTTTATGGGTAGGTGAGTGTAGGAGATCTTGATTGTAAAGAAGCACATTGGGTTGACTAATCAAATCCAATCCACCTTATTGCCCTTCTAGTTCAATAGATTTCTTTGTCCACACCTGAAGGCCTTCCTTGATCATCTCATTACAGTCACATAATTTCCCCATGATATGATCACTAACTTGTTATAACAGATTTTATTGTTTTCTCACTTTTTGTGTAATAACTAATGACCAATAGAACCATCGAATATTTCTCCCAATTTGGACCTTTTTTCCCTCTCCCCTTTAAGTGGCACCATTATAGCTCAGGTACAAACTAACCTCTCAACCCAGCAATAGGCTAAAGTCCATTGATAAACTGATGGCCCACAATGAATCGACTCATACAACTCATGCACAGTATGCCACCTCACCTGGTTAACATCCTTCATATCCATAGAGACGTCAGCCTTTAGTCTTTACACATCTTGTAATTGTAATCCAATATGCTAACCAAATCTTTAATAAGTTGTATTTGTAACCAAGTATAAATACAAGTATAATCAACCCAGAAATCTATCCGGTAATCATTTTAATTTTCTTATTTTTCTCAGCTCTATTCAACTTGTTTATGGTATCAATGTTGATCTATCACTACCTCTACCTATCCTTCTTTTTATTTCAAATGGCTTTATCAAATATCAATTCAACCAACTCAGGCTCACCTGCCATTGGTGTCAATGTTTCTCAGTCATCTAGATCTTCATCACCATCATTGGTGATCTCTAATATCACCAAACTTGTGCCAATCAAATTAGATGGCACAAATTATCTGTTTTGGAAATCACTTTTTGAGCATATTCCTAGAGGACATCGGCTTATGTCAATTCTTGACGGATCCAATGCTACTCCTAGGAAGGATGGTCCCAATTATAGTACTTGGTATGAGAACAACCAAATGCTTTTGTCATGGACTCAATCCACTCTCTCGATTTCAGAACTTCCCTATATGGTTGGAGTGAAATTCTCCAAAGAAGCATAGGATATTTTGGAGAGGTGTTATGCCTCATCCACACCCATGCATGCCACTTCACCTAGAAGACAACTTCATTGACCGAAGAAAGGTTCTTTCAACATGACTGATTATCTACAACAAGTCAAAGTCATTTCTGATCAACTAGTAGCTTGTGGTTAACCAATTTTAAATGACAAACTGCAAATTTATATCCTTGATGGCTTGCCTTCTTCTTATCGTACCTTTGCCTCAACTATCCGAGGTTGTGCCCGTATTGCAACGGTAACGTTGGAAGAACTACATGACCTCCTCATCTATGAAGAACTGTCACTTGCTAATGAAGTTATACCTAATGCTTCTACAGTTTTTGTAGCAATCAAGGATCGTGGTTCTCAGCAAAGAGGTGCATCTCAACACATTCAACCACCTTCCAATGCACCCTACAACAACAACAACAACAAGCAATAGTGGCCTCAACCAAAACTCCAGTCATCCTGATCCCAACAAATTAACAACTACAACCATTCCCCTTCTGGTCTAGCTACATGCCCAACAGGGAATGGATCTAGGCCAACATGTCAGATCTATAACAAGGTTGGTCATATTGCCATTGATTGCTTCCAGAGATTGAATCTCTCGTGTCAAGGTCATCATCCACCATAAAAGCTCATGGCTATGGTAACTTCCACAAGAAATGTTATTGATGATGCCACTTGGTATTCTAACAACAAAGCCTCACATCACATAATTCCAAACATTGGTAACGTCCCCACTCACACCACTTACTCTAGTAAGCACATAGTTCAGATTGGCAATGGGCATGACTTGCACATTGCAAATGTTGGTTCCTCTACCATACCGCACCGAACACCATTTTTCATTTGAATCATATACTTCATTGTCATGATGCCTCTACTAATTTATTACCAGTTTACCAATTTTCTAAAGACAATAAGTGTCAATTTGTTTTTAATGCTTTTGATTTTGTTGTGAAGGACAAGGAGATAGGGAGGATCCTATATCGGGGGCAAACTAAAGGAGGTCTTTACCCATTCAATCCATCATCCTCTTCTACATTTCATCGACCAAGCGCATATATCACCATCTCACCCACTACCTCCATTTGGCACCACCGCTTAGGACACCCATCGAAAGACATTCAAGTTGCTATATTCTTCACATGATCTTTCCTCTTTTCTTAGGCCAACTAAAGAACGAGGGAGAGAACAAGCTTTGCAAACTCACGGGGGGATTCCAAGTGCATCCAAACAAGGATGAAGCCCATTCCCAAGTAGTCTTAGTAACCAAACAAATAACCATAAGATGGTAACTGGTAAGCCGTTTCCCCATTAGCTTTACAAAGAACACACCTATTGGGAAGTAAGCAAGAATTATGTCTCTTTCTTTGAAGCAAGTCGGTTGTGTTTATTCTTTCCAGGAAAGTTTCCCAACAAAAACTACCAACACGAGGAGGAATGGGTTTATTCCAAATCTCATTAACAGGGAAGGAAAGGCCAGAGGGAGCAGGAGGATGGACCAAGGTCTCAAAAAATGACGCACAGGAGAAGGAACCATTGGAGGATGGGGTCCAAATTCTGGAGTCATCTTTACCCGGGTCCAAGAAAACATTTTCAAGGGTGACTAGTAGAGACGATAGGCAGCCCAAATCCGCATCCCTTATTGTTCTCCTCAACCCTATATTCCATCCAAAACCGGATTTAGAATTAGAAGGAACTAAGAAAGAAGAAATGGGTTCATTCTTCAGGTCTAACAACGCATATAAGGAGGGAAATTGGTCCATCAGAGATGAGTCCCCAACCCAAGGCTGCTCCCAGAATTTTACGAGAATACCAGAGTTTAGATCATACCTTATCCAAGGGGAAAAAACCGGAAGCGAATCATGAATGGCTTTCCAAGGAGAAGCAGTTGTAGTCCTTGCCAAGATTCCTGGATCCCAGTCATTGTCTTCTAGTCCATGTATACTAGCCACAATCTTCATCCATAGTTTGTACCTTTCCATTGGAAGCCTCCATAACCATTTCCCCAACAATGCCATGTTTCTTTTCTTGATATTCCCAATGCCATGTTCTCTTGCTACTCTACATGGATGATATCATTTTGACAAGCAACTCCCCTGAATTTATCTCCACTCTCTTTGCCCAACTAGGCATGCACTTCAAAATGAAAGACATGGGCCCATTATCCTACTTCCTTGGCATCCAAGTTCATCTCACCACTAATGGCATCTACCTGAATCAATCTCAGTACATACTTGATCTCCTATAGATAGAGATGACATGGCTAGTTGCAAGGCTGGCCCGAACCCTTGTCTCTCATAATCCATTGGACTCGACTGACAGCCCAACTCTTTACCGCAGTCTTGTTGGTGCCCTCCAATAGGTGACAATCATTAAGCCTAGTGTTGCATTTGCTGTTAATCAAGCTTGCCAACATCTACAATCTCCCACTGAACTCGATTTCACTACTGTTAAGGGGATTCTCCACTACTTGAAAGGCTCCATATCTTCTGGATTACATCTCAAACCAGGTCCAGTTCACCTTACAGCCTTTTGTGATGCGAATTGGGCAGGTTGCCCCATTGACCGTCGCTCCACCAATGGATTCTGTGTTCGATTGGGTCTAATTCCATTTCTTGGTACGCAAAGAAACAAGCTTCGGAAGCATGGTTGTCCATTGAGGCTGAATACAGATGCTTGACCCATACTGCCGCTAAACTCTCATGGTTGTGTTCCCTCTTCAAAGAGCTCCATGTTCCACTACGCCGCCCACACATCCTTTGGTGTGATAACGTTTCGGCCATTGCACTCACATCTAATCCAATTTTTCACACATGAACAAAACACATTGAAGTTGATTATCATTTTGTTCATGAATTGATTACTCAAAAGCTGCTTGATGTGCAGTATATTCCTTCTTTATCTCAAGTTGTAGATTTGTTCATTAAGAGCCTGTCATCTACGTGTCTTCGCGATTTGGTTATCAAACTGAACGTTAGCCCACCCCCGTTAAGGGGGGATGATAAACTGATGGCCCACAATGAACCGATTCGTACAACTCATGCATAGTGTGCCACCTCACCTGATTAACATCCTTCTTATCAACAAATACGTCAGTCTTTACACGTCTTGTAATTATAATCCAATATGCTAACCCAATCTAACACGTTTGTAACTGGATAATTTGTATTTGTAACCAAGTGTATATACAAGTATGATCAACCCAGAAATCTATTTGGTCATCATTTCAATTTCTTATTTTTCTCATCTCTATTCAACTTGTTTTTCCATGACAACATGTCATCTTATTGGAAGAGTTATTTATTGATGAAATGAAAATTAACCATAAAATTACTACTAAATGAAGAATAAGAAGACTGAAACAAACCTGTCCATTCATTGCTTTTCGTGAAATCAATTCCAAGAATGAGATTTGATGATTCTAGACCTGAACCTCTCAAAGCAGAAGAAACCTGTGGAAGGAAAATGCTGATCAAGATGCTTAGAAAATGTAAAGATCGAGGATGATGGATACCTTCTTACTAATTGGAACAAAAACTGATTGTTGTAATATGATACTCAAACATGTCTAGTGGGATAATAATTATGGATTTTTATTAATAATAAAAAAATGTTATTGGTACCACGAAAGCATGCAATCTATGACATAGTAAGAGTAAGAGTGCATCATAATCTAAAATTTCTAATTTTGGTCATGTTAAATTGTTAATGCCTTTATAGACTATTTTCTTTTGTTACATTGTTTTATATAGTAAAAATAAATAAGGGAAAATCTATGAAGTCAGAAAGACATAGTATTGGATGAGCTTCGACCAATCAAAACCTTCCCGTGAATTGTTATGAGCACTTTTTTGATACCCAATAAATAAATAAATAACTCAAGTTGTGGCATGGGAAAATTCCTATCAATTGAAACTGTAAAATAGCTTGAGAGAGGCAAGGTGCCGACTGGTAGTTGGTAAGGTCTCTGACTGATAATAATAGAGACTTGGAATCCAATTCCACCTGCACCAGGGTTGAGAGTTATGGGTTTGGGGGATGAGATGCCCCTGTCGAGTAGTAAACTTGAGAGAGAGAGAGAGAGAGAGAATTCTCTTTTAATGAGGAACATGAAGGACTAGATTGGTTAAAGCAGTCAATGGGTCGGGTTTGGTTCAGGAGAGAGTAAACCATTTATGAACCAATTACTAATCAGTTCTATAAGATAGGCTAGAACCGAACAAATTACAAGAAAAGTAGAAAACCAAGAGTTCTTTATATATCATTAATTCTTTAATTGGTCCGGGTGTTAAAACGGTTTGGAACAGGAAGGCAGAAACAACCGACCTCCACCCAATTATTAATTGGGAGGCACACTAAATCAAGAACCAGAACAAACCATAATTGGTTTGGTTCTGTTAGATAGACCCGATCCATTGACAGCTCTAGATCTGTCGTTCTTTTGAAAAGGAAAACAGAAAGATGAACACGACGTTAGCTTCATTAATAGAAGATAGTGCGGTTTGATAAATCTTTTTAGGAAGATTTTCCAACAGTCTAGAAGGGTCTTTTAAAGATCTAGACCATTTGGTAAGTCCCAGTCTATCATGTCCACGTATCCATTAAATGAAAGATTTTAAATACAGAAAGACATGAAGTTTAATTTGAAGCTTCCAGCCATTTTGGGATTCCATAAGCTTTTTAGGACATAAGTCTTTCTGGCTTCCTCTATTTCATTGTCAAACAGAGAGAGAAAATTTTAGCCACTGCACTCAACGAATGAAAAGACTTGCCAAACACCTCAGTCTAGATCAAAGGAAGATCAAATGTATTGATCTCCATGTACACTGCACTCAACGAATGGCTTATATGCATAACAGAATAGCTAATCTGTTGACCCTTTAAACAAAGAGAAGGAAAGAAACAGGACCTGTTCGAGACTACTGTAACTATCTGGAATGTAAGAGTACTTTCTGCTGATCATGGCTCGTTTCCTCACAGAAAGATCAGCCGATTGAGATGTATTCGTTGGTTGTGAGCCTGAGACACCGTGATGATCACCACTTCCATAGCAATTTCCCATAGAATTAAATTCCCAGAGACTTATTTCCAAGTAAATTAAATCCCCCACCAGCCAGAGATCTCAAACTCTCAACACTTTCGTTGTCGTTCTGGGTCTATCCACTTCGACGATTAATGGTAGGAGAACTGATTCTCTCTTCATTTCTTTTTCTTCTTTACAGAAGATACACAGTATAAAATCTTTCAAAGTGTGGATTCCTTCCCTTTGCTTGCGAGGATGTCTTCCATGTGAAATGGATAAGGAATCACTTTTTCATCCTTATTCTCTGGTTTGATAAACGTAACATCTCAATGGCTGACGTGTTAGACACGTGTACACGCATTCGTAAATTGAACTCTTGTATGACAATTGGACTAACCAGAGAGAATCATTCTTTCAAGAAGCTGATCAAGATCATCCTCCAACTCCAAGTACTGAATTGAATTCGGCCACGGACCAAAGGTGGCCATGGTATTGGAGGGCATTTGGCAATTGTATACTTTATCAAAGCTTAGGATTAACGAGGGAAAAGACCCAAATGACAATCCAGTGAACTGTTTGTCTTATGGAAAGGCACCATGCCCAGAATGTATATTTGGCTTCCACAAGAAAGTTCCTAGTTAAAATGAATAAGAACATGTCCATAGGTTTGAACGAATAATTGATCTAACAGAGAAGAGAAACCTTCATAAAATTTGATACAATTTGATGATGTCTTAGTAGTTAGCAGAATCACATTACACCTTTTCCTTGATGAAATAACAACACAAAAACTACGATAATGTACATCTGATAAAAGCAGTGATGGATCCACTTGACAACAACTCCACTTAGGCTAGCTATACAAGTAGGACCCTAGGCCCAGAGAGACAAGAAAAGAAGCTAACAGCAGGACTGTTTGGTAGAAGAAGGCATGCATACACAATCCAAACCGTGGGATGGAACATGTCCCATCGATCTTCAATTTAACCATGGAAGTACAGCTTAGCTGCCTTGCCAAGGAGGATAACATCAACGATCTAAAGCCATGAATATGCAAAGAAATCAACCAGGATACAGTCGGAGACGAGAAGTGATCCGTGTTCGACATATTGGGCAGTTCACCACTTTTGGCCCACACTCTGTACATGTCTACAACCAGATAATTTTCATTCATGTTATTGGAATAGTTTAATGAAGAGATTAACCATTTCTCTCAGAAACTGAATTAATTATTATACCAGAGTAGCTTACCATATGCCCACACCCAAAAGCCATATTCTTTTCATTATTCCAGCAAATAGGGCAAACCTGCAGTAACATATCAACACTTTAAACATAACCCAGTACCAGAAGACTACAGAAAAGAAAATGCCTAGAAAGCATTGTCATCATCATCCTTACTCTTGTCCTTTCATCTCCACTGGAGCTGGAGGGGGCAGGATCGGTCAGTTCACGAGTTTGGGGGGGGCGGGCGGCGACTATACTCGATTCATAATATGGCTGTGGTGGGCGGATGAAATAACCAGGAGGGGGCCGTGGAACTACCTTTTTTGCACATCCTGTGGACCTACTATTGTTCAACATATACACACACAGAGAAGTATGTAAGTACCTGCCTGGAGTGCTAGTCCATTAGAATAATACTTAGTAATGTAGCTTGTGCCCCATACCCAAGGATCTCCAGTTCCACGGTTGCTTTGTATTGGATAGGGATCTCCATTAGTGCTGCAAGAGCAAATGCTGCTTCTTTCTCAGAAGGACTAATATCCTTGGACATAATCTCTGTGAAATTAACAAACTACACAAGGAGAGATAAGGCCACAAAATCAGTCAATATATATTGCAAAAATTGCAGGCAAAATCGGACTTGGATATAACACATTCCCATCTTCCATAGACAAGACTTGTAGCTATGTTGTACCTGAAAATTGTCAAACACACGGGTTGGAATCTTATCATCAAATTTCTTCATATCTTCCCAGGGCCCATCACCAACACCAACAAGCACAATTGAGAGTGGGTATGAACTGGTTACAAATGAAAACATCAATTTTGCAACTGCATATCCCGGTCACATTATGAAAGGCATTGACAAGAAAGCTAAAGAAAAGGTAACATTACAATAGATAATAATATCAAACCACTTCATAATAAGTTATCCTTCTATTTTTTAATTTGTGACATCAAGATTCAAGACATTTAAACTGTGTCCAAACTCCAAAGTAGAGAGAGAAGTCTTATTGAACAATTCATCCCATGTAATTCCCTATTTATACTCCATTGTAAAGTTCAAATTATACACTGAAAAGTAACTGAACAATTTGTCCCCATGTATTTCTCTATTTTTATAATGGCAATAGCACAGTCCATTTTTATTATTTTGTCCATTAATTCTCTGGCATTTAGATATTACTTAACCACAATTTTTTTTTCTCAATACTTGTAGTCACTTAATAAAGATGTTTACCATTATTGATAGTGGATATGATTAAAAAGTCTGTAAATTAGGGTCAGTTTGGTAAGAGTGCAAATACCAGGTTTTGCACTGAACACATATACTGGTATTTGCACTCTTCCCAAACTAAGCTTTAAGATTTTTCTCAAAACAAGCTAAAGGGCTTACATAGGATAACATTAAAATATTGTACAAAGATGCGTCATCTGTCATGGACTAAAAACAACTTCTGATAAAAATCCTAAAAACATAAGATGCCCCTTCCAACTTCTGACAAAAATATTGTACAAATATGTTTCATGGACTAAAATCAACCATAAAACATAAGATGCCCCTTCCAACTAACTGAAATTATACCTTGCATAACGCATTGCCATTACCACATACAGAATTTTCATGGTGTTCTACAATAGTAATCATAAGCAAGACAAAACGTTTAACAGCAAAACAAGTACAAAGAACAATTATTTAAACCTTTATACCTTGCAGTGACTATTGACTGAATTGTTTTCTCTTCCTGTGGGCTAAGAGCACCTTCCTCTGTATTAACACTTCTTGTAACCTTTAGCAAATACAAGACAAAATGTTTTAATATAGAACTAGAACAAAACTTTAAAAAGAAAAGGAAGAAAGCTCCAATTGGGAGACCTGTCCATCTGCAATGATGACCAGAACATGGTACTGTCCACCACTTTGCTCCACAATGTCAATTGCAGCCTCAACTACTGGTGCAAAAGAAGTTGGTCCTAGGAAAAAAAAGCAACCATATTTAAGAAAAATAAGAGGCTAACTGCACATAGCTTTTAAGAACAGAAAAACACAAACAACAAATCAACGGGTACCAAAATTCTGTGATCTTGACCGTAATCAATTGAATGGGTAACAAAAGACCACAGGCTCAATTCTATGAGAAACTAACTAATGAAATGAAACAGAACAGCCAAAAGCAGAATTCTTTTTCATCTAAAGAAAATAAAGGATGGTAATTAAAAGTTATCTTGTTTGAAATAGCAACCTATTTAGGATAGACTTGTAGCAGCAATCAACACACCCCTGGTATGACCCAGGATCTCACTCATATAGGACACAGATCCATGTTTGAATCACGGTTCATGCAAGTCTGAAACAGGATAGTTTTTAAATCATGATTCATAAATATCTGAGTTACACCTCAAAGTGTTTAAACTGTAGTTCAATAGAGGAGTAGCGGCTCCAAACATAATCTCTCCTTTCACATCCGTAAAACTTTTACAATATTAAATGACAAAAGCAGTCAAACTATTTATATTTCATGCCATTGGATCCCTATGATCCCATAAATAAAGTCATTTAAAATGACCAAAGATAACTAAAATTTAGCAAAATATCTGAGCTAATTACAATCGATGCCCTTGGTAGTCAAAAGTTAAAAGACACACAAACACATATATAATTTTATAAAATAATGTTCAGAAAAGTATTCATTATTCATTAATGATAAGAGAGAGAGAGAGAGAGAGAGAGAGAGAGGCCCAAGCCATAGGAATGTTGTAAATAGCTGGGGAACAAACATGTACATGGTGCATTGCAATAGGCTAGTCAAAAAAAAAAAAAATCAGTAAAAAATAAGTTCCATTGTTCTGGCCCAGGGTCTACTGCCCGTGCTCCCTACAACTTCTGATCTTTAAGTTAGCTTGTGCGTGCAGCTAATTATGTCCAACTCATTTTTATTAGGGAAAATTCCCGATTAGTACCCTGTACTTTGGGCCTAGTGCCACTTTGGTCCCTTAACTTTAAAATGCGACAATTCAGTATCCGAACTTTCAAAATGTGACAATCTAGTACCTGCCGCTAACTAACTGTTAACCAGCCATTAAGTGGCATTTGAAAAAGACACAAATGCCCTTCGAGTGTCATCTAATTTTTTTATCAACCATCTAAACACTGACAAAAATTAACAGTCCCAAATCCTTGCCTCTTCTATTCAAGAAAGTTGGGGTCACTAGAATGCCCATACAAACATGACCCCAACTTTCTTGAATGGAACAAGCAAGGATTTGGGACTGTTAATTTTTGTCAGTGTTTAGATGGTTGATAAAAAAATTAGATGACACTTGAAGGGAATTTGTGTCTTTTTCAAAGGCCACTTAACGGCTGGTTAACAGCTAGTGAGCGGCAGGTACTAGATTGTCACATTTTGAAAGTTCGGGTACTGAATTGTCGCATTTTAAAGTTGGGGGACCAAAGTGGCACTATGCCCAAAGTACAGGGTACTAATCGGGAATTTTCCCTTTTTATTATATAGCTTGGCGTGCTGCAATAGGCTAGTCAAAAACAAAGCTAGTGAAAATTAGTTCCATTGTTCTGGCCCAGGTTCTACTGCCTCTACTCCCTACAAATTCCGATCTTTAAGTTAGCTTGTATGCAGCTAATTATGCCCCTGCTCCCTTTTCTTTTCTTTTCTTTTCTTTTCTTTCTTTTATCTTTTTACGTTCTCTTTCTTCTCTTTCTTTCTTTCTTTCTGCCTTCTTTGTATGAGGTGTGCATGAGGCACATGAACCATACACCTTAGAGGCATCAGTGCCTCTGGAATACACCTGAAGGCATTCCAGGTGTAGGCCTCCATGCCTTTTAAACATGGAATAAATCCAGTATCCTGAAGAAGTAAGAAGCAATTTATAGTTGTCCATTCTAGTGCAGAGGCCGAGTATATGGTGATGAAATAGAGTTTTCAAAGTTTATACGGTTATAGTCCCTACTTAAGGAATTAGGTATTAGTTATGAGAAGCCATTGATATTATAGTGTAATAATTAAGATGCAATCATCATATAAATTATAACACCAGTATAGTGGGGAAAATAATCCAAATAATTGTGGGGTGGAGTCAAGAATGGCATCAGAGTGGAAAAAGGGTGTGATACCCTAGGTAGTTCTCCATGGCGAAACCCACGGAAGATTCTCGTCCTCTCCCTGCGAAGCTTTCTTTTGCTTCAGTTCTCTTGTCTCTCTACCCTCTCTAAGCCTATCCTCAATGTTCCAATTGTTGGTGCCAATTTGAAAAAAGTGAACCAGTTGTCTTACTCCCTGAAGAAGTGCTTGAGAAATCTTATGACCTACTTCGTTGGTCATTGGTTGGTAAGTGTAAGCACGGTCGTCCACCTCTGCCAAGGATCAAGGAGTTCATTTATAAAACTTTTAGTTTGAAGAACGAAGTGTAGGTAACAACTCTCAACTCTAAACACATTTTGATTCAATTTGTTGAGAAGAATTTTCTGAAGGTATGGATGAGAGGTTTTTAAAATTAAATCCTTTTATTTTGTTTATTCAAATGGATGCCTGAGTTCAAACCCTCTGTCATTCCAATTTGGATCAGTTTTATGTTTTTACCAGTTATAGGGTTGTTTCGTTTGATTGCTTTGGCAGTAGGACCGGTTCTCAAGTTTGACCAGGCGACTGTACAATACTTTAACTAGAACCACGATGGATAGGGCTTGTGTTGAACTTGATCTGCTCAAGCATCATCTGAGCAAGTTATGGATTGGTAATGGTTGTGATGGGTTCTGGCAGGAGATCGTGTATGAAAAAACCTCCCGGAATACTGTAATAACTGCTACAAGGTTGGTCATTCAACGGCATCTTGTAAACACAATAAAGCTAATAGACATTCAAGTGACAAGAAGGGCTCATATGAAGGTAATAGAAGAAGAATGTTGTTGACAGAGGCAAGAAGGTAGTAGAGCAATAAGCTCCCATTTCAAAGGCAACAACAGTGTTGAATGAAAATAGCCAAAATGCAGTCTCAAACCCTGAGGATGGAAATAGCGCAGGTTTCGGATGCTCCTTTGTCCAATCATGTAACTGCTCTTCATCAAGTTACACCCGATAACACTAGGGTTGAAGAGGAAACCTGAGACTCTAATAAAGTACAGGTGGCTTCAAAGTCAGAAGATGAGGTGTCAGAGACAAACACCTCGGAAAATGAGGTGTCAGAGACCGGGCATACAACCTGAGAACAGAGAGGTTCACAGGTTAGAGGTTCAATCGAAGTCAAACAGTGATGATGTGGCATATACATAAATATACTATGGGTCATATAAATACTATCTATTATTATTTTACACCTTTTAATATGTTTAAATATGGTGGATGAATGGAAAATTCTTTAATTTTTAAAGCAAATGATAGGGTTCAACTCTCGTAATTTACATTTCCTTTAGAACATGTTCGTAATAAAGTAATATGCACAATATTAATTACTACAAGTAAAGAGGTGGATTAGTGGTAATTAATTAGTATATGAAAACAAGAGGCCATGGGTTCAAGTCTTGTTAATTGCATTTTAAAACTTCAATTGTTTAAAGACCTGGACAGTTTCATGAAACCGGGACCGGTTAAATTGGCCGGTCAGCCGGGTTTTTAGCAATGGTTATTAGGGTATGACTGAACTGGGCAAGGTCAACTGGATCATGGTTTAACCGGTCCAACCGGCCAATACGGTCCAGTTTCTAAACACTAGAAAATACCACTATTATTGGGAAAGATGGTGAAATTCCCAAGGCCGATCTAATATGTTGTCAAAGTCCAAGAAATACAGAGGGGATCAAAGCAGGTAGGTGGCCTAAGGCCAAAATTTGTTCAGCCCAGCATGCATGATGGAATTTTGTTGGGATGATTATTTGGTGATTGGTGTTGGGAAAAAGGAGCAAGATTAAATTAGTAGATCTCGTCATCACGAAGAATTTCAAGTTTAAGGAGGTCCAATAGACATCACAATTAGAACCAATTCGAAGATCGACAAGAACAAACAAAGGTTATTATCCCCATTATTCTTGATGTTGTCTTGTTCTTGGTTTTTTGCTTGAGGGTCAGGTTTTATGCCCCTCTTTTTATGATCATTAATAAAGTCTCTTTTCTTTTTCTAAAAAAATCATCATAGCACATAATCCAATCCAACATGATCTAAAAAGTACATTAAAGTTGATTGATACTTAATGCAAGAAAATATTTTCTCACTGATGAAGTTTATCTCCCATTTGTTAAGTCTAAATTACAACTAGCAAATATACTTACAAAAGGTGTTATTAAGTCAAAGCTAAACCATAGTCAAAGCAAGCTAGGCGTGATTAATGTCTATGTTTAGATTGAGGAAGAGCGTTGAAATATATGTAATTTAGTAGGGTTGCACAACTAAGGGTGTTTTAGTCATTTTGTGTTAAATCATTAAACCATTCATGTAAAAATGGAGGCTCCATGCCTCAGTTTTTGCTTCTCCCTCGAACATTTCTCTACGCTTCTCTTCTCTCACTATTATAAATCTAAGATACTTTTGCAAACAAGTACCATAATGTAAGAAAATGAATATAATGCTAACCTGACAATCGCAAATTTGGAACAATCCGTTTATAGCAAGCCAAAACTTCTTCAAAGCCATGGCAGGGTTTATTATAATTGTGAAAGCTGAAAACCTCTTGATCATGGGTGGTGACTGATAGGATCAAAATGATAGACTAATTAATAGAAACATCTGATATAATTTATATTGCTTTATCAAGAATAAGAACAAGAAAGAAAATAAAAAAGCTTCAACCTAATAGTAGAACACAGACCATCACCAAACCCAAAACAAGGAATCATATTGTCTTCATCAAAGGGAGCCAAAGTCTTCCCAACAATAGCAATGGCTTGTTCATATGGATTAGGTGTAGAACCAATTGCATGTAGGCTCCTTTTATTGAAAGAATATTTGCCTTCAACAACAAAGTAATTAGCATTAATAAGATGATAAGAACCATATAAGGTGAATATTGTCCCAAATACAATTCTAGAAGTGAAATAATGGTTAATATCAACAGCCAAAAGAACCAGAAAGCCACAATTTTTTGTCTTCTACATTGACCTTTCCATATGGAGAAATACCATTAAATTGCAGGGAAATTTTTGTTGAATGAATAGTAAGACCCAGCATTACTTTTTTTTTTATCAATAACACTTTAATTAATTCATCAGTAGAAAATTTACAAGTGGAAGACAAATACACTTATCTTCCAAAAGCCACAAAGAACTTCAAGAAAGGAAAAAAATACAAAGATACAAAGACACTAACGTTACAGCTTAGCCCAAAACAAAGAATCCCTTTCTGCCCCTTGTTTTGCTAAACTGTCAGCTAGGGAATTAGCTGATCTTTTAATCCAACTGTCTTAACTTCCATCTCCCGCACCAGCCATTTGAATTTCCTCTTCTCATTATTATACTTCATAAATCATTTTGATCTTTAGT